GCCATGAGGCGCTCGTCCACGTACTCCGTGGTGTACTGGGAGGATTTGCACAGCGTCTCCTCCACAGCGATTCCGACGCCATGCGTACCACCCTTGTCCGTGCCACAGGTGAACACCCGAAAACCGGATGCTGCGAACTCCGTTCGCCCTGGTCTCCTGACCTCCTGCAGACCGACAAACGAAATGCCCTGTTTCGCTGCCTCGTGTAAGACGCTGTCGGCTCTCCCATAGCCGTTGGCCCCGTTCACGGCCAGTGTACGCACATTGTAGGTTGCTACCCTAACCAGTCGACCCTGCCGGGCGGTGCGTGCTGCATCCCTAATCAGCCTACGCACCTTCCGGCCCCTCCTCCTCTTCTTCCTTCCTTTTTTTATTTTCTTTATTTTTATTGCTCTGCGGATCCTCGGGTTAATGTAAGAGTTAACCCGGTGCTTGCCTTTCCCAGCGAGGTGTCTTCCTGTCCCGGAGCGGCGTGGCTCTCCAGCTCTGGACCCTTTCCGTCCCCCTGTTGGGTGCTTACCCACACGGTGTGCGATCATCCCGCCACCCTCTCCGTGCTCTCCACCGCTGCCTTGCCCCGGTGTCCAAACCGGGGCATTTGGGTTCAAACCCATCGGCGGCTGTCTCCAAGTTGGCTTATCACGACCTACCTCGATCTCGTGACCGCGGTAACTCCCGACCGCCAAACTCAGGATCCTCTCCTACACGGTGCTAGGGACCGTATATCCGTCGTTGTTGGGTGGTTTTTTCGAGGGTTAACTGCACTTGCGGGCCTCGGCCTCCCCCGGGGAGGGGAGGAGGGGGGAGGCGGAGAGTATGGAGTATAGAGCATGTACATTTATCTATTCGGGTTCGTAAGACAGACCATCAACAACTACCATGTCGTATTTGTACTCTCCGATTCATCCGGTAAGATCAACACGAAGCAAAGGTCTCCTCCACTCTCCACGCGCTAGTGTGTATAACCTCACCATGGCCCCGACATTTGCGAGAACCGGCCGGAAGACGAGCAGCATGATGGACTGCAGTGTCCACTTGTCGCTCCCAGTGAGAGACGAGTAGTTGG